TGAGGACCAAAAAGACAAACCCTGTGTGTTGTTTTCTACTTCTTTTGTTCCTTTCATTAAATAAGACCTTCCCCTTATTTTCCTACACCTTTCCAACGAAATTCCCACCCATTTTCTTCCCAAAATCAGGCCTAAATACCCACACACAACAAAGGGACAAAAATCAGCAAAAGGTCTTTGATTGAATACTAACTTCTTGTCCTATTATTCACTAAAAATCAGGCCATGTTATTTTCTTTGTCTTGGCCCACAATGGCGGAATTTCCCACTATCAAACAAGACAAATCTACACCTTATTTTAGTCTCATAATCCCCTTGTATTTTCCTTACACATGGCTGAATAAAATCAGCCCCATGAAAGCCAAACAAATCCCTTTTTTCCGTTGAATGCAATCCACTAATGAGATAAGAACAAATGCTGATTTGTGAAGGGATGATGCTTGGTAGTTTCCTAGTTTGTTTTTACTTTCATTTGTAATGTTTACTCCCTTTCCATCATAGTATATAATTCGGCGGTGTTAGGAGTGCGTGTTAGGAGTCTAATTTTATACATTAGTAGTGATTATTAATGTGTAAAAGAAGATAAAAGCCCCAAGTTAAGATAAGAGTGTGTCATATCTCTTAACACCAACTTGGTTTATCCCTTCACTTTATTTTGCCCATTTCATTCCTCTCCATTTTCTCTTCCTAAACCCCATTCTATTCTATCTTCATAAATCAAAATACCAAAAAAAGAACTCTTTCCCATACTCCATATTTTACCCCTTCAATTCCATCGTCCATTTTCTCCGCAAATCTGCCACAAAATAGCTACTCGTTAAGACCCCGGGTCTCGGGTACAACAGGGGGTTCGGCCAAACAAGGAAAAGAAAGGGGAAAGAGTTAGGGTTTTAAGGTATGGTTTTGAAAATGTTGTGATGGGCTTTAAGGGGTTGGGTTTCGGATTTCATGGGCCTAAATATATCAAGGTTGGGTTGTATGGTTTTGGGGTGAGAAATTCATTCCAAAAAGGATTTTGACGTTTGGACATTAATCCACATATTTGTCTAAGTTCTTGAGAATTAGTTGACGTAGTTGGGGATAACACATCCTCCCCGTCTTCGGAAGAGTTTGCCCTCAAACTCAGAAGTTCTTCAGGATCAAAGTACGGGCTGAGATCTTTAATGTTGAAGGTTGCTGAAACGCCGTAGTCTCCCGGGGGGTTGATCTTGTAAGCGTTCTCGTTGACCTTTTCAATGACTTCGAATGGACCATCCGCTCGTGGTAATAGCTTTGATTTACGCTTCGTAGGGAAACATTCCTTCCGAAGATGGTATATGGCTTCGGGTGGGGTGATGTCTTGAACCTTAGCTTCTCAACCAACGNACACCTTAGAAATCTGGAAATTGTCCTTGCAAATGGAGCAATATTGCAATGGGCTACTCGGCGATGTTTCATGTGTGGTGGCTGTGGTCATGGCCACTGGGAATGTTCAAATAAGTATGCCATACCATATGAAGAGTGGGCCATGATTCATGAGGAGGAAAAGAAAAGCTCATGTGACCAATTTGTCAATGAGGAAGACGTCTTTGATATTCCTGTCAAAGATGAAGATGACGTCTTCGTAGAAGAACCGGCTTCTAATGCTCAGGAAGAATCACACTATAATGATTCTTTCCTTATTCATGATGACTTCGTTGATGAGGTATTTATAGAGGAAGCCACACCGGAAGTTATATATTCTAAGGAAGTGATTTTCATAGAGTATTATCATCTTTTCAATGAAGGAAAATCTTATCTCATCTCTAAGGTATGTTCGAAGCAGGTTTTTACAAGGCATGGCATCATGTTCCGGAAATTACACAACGAAGTGTCTACTAATTCCGGAAGGAACCTCATTATTGGTGGTTCATTGAATTTCCCATTTGATCCGGGAATTCTTTTATGAAACCCAAATCAGTCACGGTGGTGCGAAAGTTTGAGGACAAACTTTCTTCGAAGAAGGGAAGTATGATGTACCCCTGGATGGCTCCACTAAAATCCCAACCTCTCCCAAAATATCCAAAAGTCTTTTATCTTCATTTGATAATCAAAATAAAGTCTTTACCTTCCTTTTTAGCCTTGGACGAAAATGAGGACCAAAAAGACAAACCCTGTGTGTTGTTTTCTACTTCTTTTGTTCCTTTCATTAAATAAGACCTTCCCCTTATTTTCCTACACCTTTCCAACGAAATTCCCACCCATTTTCTTCCCAAAATCAGGCCTAAATACCCACACACAACAAAGGGACAAAAATCAGCAAAAGGTCTTTGATTGAATAGTAACTTCTTGTCCTATTATTCACTAAAAATCAGGCCATGTTATTTTCTTTGTCTTGGCCCACAATGGCCGAATTTCCCACTATCAAACAAGACAGATCTACACCTTATTTTAGTCTCATAATCCCCTTGTATTTTCCTTACACATGGCCGAATAAAACCAACCCCATCAAAGCCAAACAAATCCCTTTTTTCCTCTGAATGCAATCCACTAATGAGATAAGAACAAATGCTGATTTGTGAAGGGATGATGCTTGGTAGTTTCCTAGTTTGTTTTTACTTTCATTTGTAATGTTTACTCCCTTTCCATCATAGTATATAATTCGGCCCTTAGGCCTTTGTAACACGGCTGATTATTAAATGAAAAACTTTGTTTACTCTTTTGAGTATTCTCTTAAAATAGTGTGATGCTATTTTAACCAAATTTCCTAATGAAATATCTCTAAAGTTGGCTACTTTTGAGTGCGTGTTAGGAGTCTAATTTTATACATTAGTAGTGATTATTAATGTGTAAAAGAAGATAAAAGCCCCAAGTTAAGATAAGAGTGTGTCATATCTCTTAACACCAACTTGGTTTATCCCTTCACTTTATTTCT